CCTCATGGATCTTAATACAAAATTGTCTAGCTTTATATTTTGAAAGTACTATGTTTTGGAGCTCTTTACTCTTCATATTTTCGAATGAGAAAATTGTATGATAGCACAGTATGTCTTCTTATGAATTTGTAGAGAAGAAAATTCTGTTTCAATTGGTAAAAAAAAGTATAGGTAAATTGCGGATAGTTTCCGAGATATCCATGAAATACTACAACCCTCATTCTTTATAGGCCATCCGATATATATATATATATATATATGCACAATTTTATTGTATTCTGTTTTATATATGTTCTATACTCCGCTATTAATTAAGAAAAAATTTTGAATGAGTATTCATATCGCCAAACATTGTCAATTGTTGATAGTAAGCTAAGAAATTAATCATGAACTCCCGCTGAATATATGACTTTACTTTACCTTACTATTCGGGTAAAGTAGATCTACTTTACTTTACCTTACTATTCGGGTAAAGTAGATCTACTTTACTTTACCTGATAAAGTAAAGTCAACTACTTTACTTTATTTTACTTTACTTTTTCAAAGTAAAATAAAGATAAAGTGCCACCCCTACTGCGGATTCGGATTCAGGGCCCTCGATAACCTATAGCAAAGTTTGATCAAAATGGCCAAAAGTCTTAAAATAAGCTAACCTCTTATATATGTTTTTTTGACCTCAAGCAAGCAAGCAAACAAACAACCGCATTTTATTTCGTATGACCCTCCCTTCAGTCGAGGGAACTACACAAAATATTAAAAATAACGTAATCAACCTGTATATGTACGTTATTTTTGGTTTTTATTTTTGGTCTAATTTGGATTTAGCAAAACGAATATTGATTTCCAGTTGCAAAATGTTCGGATGATTTGCAGGTAAAGATTTTACAAATATTTCACTTGCTTTTGTGTAGCATTTAAGTGCTTCCTCGTATTTCCCATCTTTATCATGTACTAGACCCATATTTGTATAAGTAATTCCAAATTGTGAATGATTTTCTGGAAAATATTCACGATCTGCATCAAGAGCTTTTTCGAAATACTCGATCGATAAGCTAGATTTATTTTTGTATTTATAAATATTAGCCATAGTACGATAAACATTTGATAGTTGTGGATGATTCAATGGAAGAAAAATGTCAAGCGCTTTTTGTTCAAATGACATGGCCATATCAAGTTCTCGTTTCCTCCAGTAAACTTCACCGATTTTAGAGTAAGTTGTCGCAACGAAAACATCATTACCAAGTGTCAATTCAATGCAAAGTTCCTGTTGATAATACTTTAGTGCTTCATCATATTCCTCCTGACGCTGCGCAACTGTTCCAAGGCCTCTGTAACAATTAGTTCTATCCACATCGCTGATTGACTCTTCAGCCAAAAGTCCTCGGAAAAACTGCCTCGCTTTCTCATTGTCACCTTGTTTTTCGAACCAAATACCGAGTGATATGATACCGTTACCTATACTCTCTTTCATATGTAATAGCATATCTTTCAGTTCGTAACTATCTTCACTACACAATCTTAACTTCGCAATCCAAAGTTGTTCATGTTCATCATACTTCACATCATCAATACGAAAGATTGATCCTAGTCTAATTAGTATTTCGTTTTCATTTTGGAAGTAACTCAATTTTGAGATATCGGCATAACACTTTGTGTCCGGCAGACGCGTATCGATTTCGAATTCTAAGATAATGTGTGCAAGGAGTGTCGCAGCACTGGAATCAGCGAATATAGTGGCTATTTGACGATTCGTACTTGTTGATAGAAAGTTATTGAACGTGATGAATTCTCCTTTACTCTTTTGAATCAGATTCAATTCAGCCAGACCCATAGCCTGACCACGGTAGACACGCAGGATAGGGTCTTCTGCAGTGTATGAGTTCAGAAACTTTACATGCTCATCTGTTATTTGTCGATATAAGTCACAGAGAAAGAAGCGAAGTCCAAATAAAAGATCAATGTCAGATTCTCGCAGTGCCTTGTTCAGTATACGGTATAAAAACGATTCACGTGTATACCACCAAATTGCTTTCTGAGATTCATATTCTTTTTCGAACTCCTTCACAACATTTTGTGAGAAAAAGTTAGCATTACAATATTCACTCCAAACTTGACTTAATTCTCGTCTCGCTTTATCATCGTTAGGCAGCATGGTTAGTAGAATATCGATGAAAATAATGAAGTACATGAATGACGCATTTTTTCTATCACGTTGTTCTTGAACAGCAGAATTTCCGCTGTGATCATGGCTGTAAATATTCATGGCCAATGAATTCTCGTAGGTTCGCTCGCGGACATGTTGGTCTTGTTTCAATTGATTAATAAGTTCATTTGGTTTCGTGAAAAAAATATTGACCTATAAATCAGAATAGATATCATTGTTGAACTTATAATTTATAGTTTGATTTTTTTCTCAACTTACTTTCTTGTACGATTTTGACCACTCTCTATATGTGTCTTCGTTCATGCAATAGACATAAACGGCTGCAACTTGTGGTATGTTTTGAACACGCGATATAAGTTCACGACCGTAGTAGCCCGAAACAATCAAAATAATCTTTTGACCTCGTTCAACCACAAGCTCAACATATCTTTCACATTCTTCAAAGTTATCAAACACTCGCATATGGTTTATAACCTGTCTAGCTTCTTCTTTCACTAAATTGTCTTCTGTCGCATTAACTTCTTTGTCAAACCACAGAAACTGGTACGGTTCTAGATTAGTTGTATCTTGTCCTCGAAAACGAGATGTTGTGGAAGCGACGCCAGAGAACGATGCAGCAGTAAGGGAAGCATTCATGGTGAGTATCTGTCGGCTCAAGTTAAATGGGTTCTTTTTCAGCAGTGGCAGAATTCTCACCAAGCAAAATTCGAGAATTCTGTTCATTTATAAACTATGCTATATTCTTTCTTTCCTGTATTATATTCTTTCTTTCTTGTGCTATTTTCTTTCCTTCCTG